AGTATTGTATCTCATAGTGATATATAATAGTAAATAGAACGTACATGTCGTCAGAATAGTATTGTATCTCATAGTGATATATAATAGCAAGTAGAACATGTATGTCGTTAGAATAGTATTGTATCTCAGTGATATATATATAATAGTAAATAGAACGTACATGTCGTCAGAATAGTATTGTATCTCATAGTGATATATAATAGCAAGTAGAACGTGCATGTCGTTAGAATAGTATTGTATCTCAGACTTTCCACTAAGAAAGACAATATTCACAGGATGTTAGATGAACTATTGAGTGAACAAACAAAAGATTACTACTAACCCTTAACTCAACGTCTTCTTCACTTGTATCAAAATGGGAAAAAGTATTGCTTATATATTTCGTGCAGGCTGTGTTGCATCGATAACTTGAATTCAAACCTGTAATGAAAACAAATTCAATTTCAAACAATATTACAGTGTTTGTAACACAACTTTTACGTTACTTATTAGTTAAGATTATTATGTATTTTAAACGGCACATAAAACTTTTTCCTTCTTATAAGTCAGTTTTAATAACATTTATAAATTACATAAGTATTTCAGATCCCTCATTACTTTGGTGTTCCAATAATTTTTCCCTTTATCAGTTTAACCTGATGGCCAAGCAGGCGACTGAAACCAAAAATAATTTTCAATTTTTCATTTTGTTTGCAATGTGTAGTACAACAGACTCAATGCCTGTTTAGGAAATCGTAGTGTACAATGTGTGTACTCTCAACGGATGGTATGTAACATTCTACACAACAGAGTTTCACCATATATATATATATATATATATAAGCCATTCAAGCCTTAGTCATAATAGTCTATCACTTGATAAAGTGCATCGCTCAAAAATATTTTTCGAATAAAGACTGCTTGTCGTCTACAATGCAAAACTCGATATATAAGTTGTTTCTTATTAATCGCGATATAATTCAAGAGTTTTTTTTTTTTGTTAGCAATTACGATGAAATCTCATTGTAATTCACCTTATTGTACACCTAGAGATAAATATTTCCTGTTAAAAGAAGATCGCTGCTATGTAGTATTGGACAAACACGATTGCCATAGCCACATTCTTTTTTCCAAGGTCTTGAAATTTGAATAATATTCAAGCAAGTTGAATGATCTCATAATTATCTTATAACATGGTTTAATTTAATAACTAACTGGCTGTTATTTAAAAAAAAATCCCTTGCGATCTTGTATAGCACAGTCCCATATCTTTACTTGCTCATTGTCATACTTATCGACTCCGATAGTATATATATATCTGATGAAGAGCGCTAAAGTCAGTAAATTAAATGTATATACTTACAATGTACGGTCTTGTCATGAATATGTTTTAGAAAAAAATGTTTCGTTAACTACAGCGAAATATTACGTTCGGAAACTGGAGGCTTAAGCAATCCTAGCTGTCTTTATTTTATCATTATTATAATTTTATAGGGTTTGTTTAAAATAAATTGTAACTTACTTCTGATCTTGGGGCGATGTGAAGGACTACTGTGAAACTTTTCTTTTGCTGTTGCTGTGTTATTGGTATCGTCTTCTGAAGTTAACATGTCACTGTGCTCGACTGAACAAACTTGTTTTTCATTCCCTGGAACTTCATTACGTCGCGGAAGAACATATTCGTAAAACGGATTGTGAACATGTCTCAGAGAAGTTCTCAATGTTGAGTGTGTGTTGTTCTCGGCATCTGTTAGTTGGTTTCCCTGTAGAGGAACGAAAGTGACATCGTTGTTATTGTTAGTTTCAGGAATCGCAGTCGTTTTGGAAAATGACTTCGAGATACGTCTATCTTCCTCCTAAGCCTAATATCCCAATACACTGTTAATAGTATATCATAAAGTTTAACCCAGTATTCTTTAGATAGAAATAAGGATACAAATGTCGTTAGTGATGAAAAACAAAATAAAATAATATTAAGCAGCCTAACCTTATGCATAAATTAAATACATTTGCTTGTTTGTCTGTTTATTTTAAAACAAAGCCACATTGGGCTATCTGTTGCATCCAATGGGGAGGAATCGAACCGCGCTATAAATCCATAAACTTTTTTATGTCGAATTTAATTTTTTAAGACAAGTCACATTCCTACTTATTCTGAAAGACTTCTTTTTAGTGGGTTTTTATGAATTTATTTTTTCCTGTTATGGTACTTTCAGATACACTGATTTCCTACAGATAAGAAAGGTGACCAGGAGAAAATGTGTTACAAACAGACACAACCGAATGAGAAACACAAACTGAGATATTGTACACAAGTACTTCTTCTTATTGAAAGAACGATCTGAAACTAGTGGACAGAATTAACAACTACGTACACATAGGGTCAAATATCTCAGAATGTGCTTTCCATTATATAACTCTACCTGTTCACTCCTATTAGGAAATACAGAAGAGACGGAATCTTCAAGTATTTACATGACTGATGCGAGTAGACAATAGCACAAGCCTAACTAATTCTCAAGTGACAGCTTCAACGGGAAAATGCAGACATACAACGGGGAACGTCCTTTGATAATGTGTGACTAGTTCAAGAATAAGTATTTACACGCTCTACATTTAACGGCCAGGCATGGCCAGGTGGTTAGGGAGCTCGACTCGCAATCGTCGGGTCGCGGGTTCGAATCCCCGTCCCACCAAACATGCTTATCCTTTCAGCCGTGGAGGCATTATAATGTGACGGTCAATCCCACTATTCGTTGGTAAAAGAGTAGCCCAAGAGTTGGCGGTGGGTGGTGATGACTAGCTGCCTTCCCTCTATTCTTACACTGCTAAATTAGGGACGGCTTGCGCAGATAGCCCTCGTGTAGTTTTGCGCGAAATTCAAAAAACAAACAAACTACATTTAATATATGTGTCAACGCTGAACAGAGCAAGGTACCTACTTGAAGCAAAACTAAAAATCAGCCTGGTAGTAGTTATCGGTAATTGAATATGGTCATTCTTATAAAAATTACAATGCTTTGTTTCAATAGTTGGGTACTCTCGCTGTTAATGTTATTTTGGTACGTAAACTCAATAATACCTCACAAAAGTCAGCCAGCTTAGCATATTTAGGTTAGTCTCAAATTCAAATACTAAGCTAAAAATGCAAAACAATCTCCAAAATAAAAATATAGTAATAATAAAACTAGATATATTAAATATTTTAACTAATACTGCTAATAAAAGTAACATTTGAGAAATAATACGGAACACACAAATGCTAACTGTCAGCTTCAAGTATTATTATAGATTTAATATTCGTTTAACAACATAACATCAGTATAATCGTGAATAAGCAGAACTTTTCTCAATCTCCCTAAAACCCCTATGGCCAATGAAAACCTATTAAACAACTCTGACAATGAAAACCTATTAAACAACTCTGACAATGAAAACCTATTAAACAACTCTGACAATGAAAACCCATTAAACAACTCTGACAATGAAAACCTATTAAACAACTCTGACAATGAAAACCCATTAAACAACTCTGACAATGAAAACCCATTAAACAACTCTGACAATGAAAACCTATTAAACAACTCTGACAATGAAAACCCATTAAACAACTCTGACAATGAAAACCCATTAAACAACTCTGACAATGAAAACCTATTAAACAACTCTGACAATGAAAACCCATTAAACAACTCTGACAATGAAAACCTATTAAACAACTCTGACAATGAAAACCTATTAAACAACTCTGACAATGAAAACCCATTAAACAACTCTGACAATGAAAGCCTATAGGAGCATGGCATATGAGATAATTTGATTCGACACATGTTATTGTTTAAATATGAAGTCAACTAGCAGGACGTTAACAAGAGTATAGCCAAAAACTAATATTTATGAAGATATAGAGTAAAAAATGAAATGAAAACCTGAACCGTACAATAAATAGCTAGAATATTGGATATGTAATTACAACATAACAGTATTAAACGTAGTGAATAGAAAAACGGTATATTAAGCATACTATCAGGCGTGTCTAACATAACTAATCCTACTTTAACTAATCTCTGTCACTTAACAAGTCACAAGGAGCGGGCAACAGGAAGTAACGTATCAAGTTAAATATCTTGTAAAAGCCAAAAAAGAAAAGCGATAAGATTTGAGAAAGTTCATCTTTGTAGACTAAAAAAGAAAGAAGCCATGGGCGTCAACAGAAATTTTTCCGGTGGGGGGAAAAGCAGAGTGAAATTTCGATGACGAGGAACCGACTCCGAGACAAATAATGGTTGGAGACGGCTTGAATGGGCAATTCGAAACGTTGTACATTTGCTGTTATTTAAACTTATATTAAAGTTTTTCTTCATTACCCATTCAAGCCGTCTCCAACCATTATCAGTGTGAAATTGTGAAGTGAATAAAAAATTCATATACATATGCTGAATGAGTAAAGAAATAATTAAGTTTCTCATTTTCCAGGTGGGCAAGTACCCCTTGCCCCCTCCCCTGCTGACGCCCATGAAAGAAGCACCTGGTGTAATTTTAATTGTCACACTGTTATCCTCTTTTTAGCGAAAATGTTCTGAAATGTATTCTTCTTCGTAACTTTGACGTTGACGAAACTTGGTACAGCCTTTCAACCTTATCTTTCCTTTTCTTTGCATGGATAACTTCTTGTCATAAAGTTGACGTTGTGATAACTTTCGTCAAGGTAGTCGCAAGCTCTGAACTAGCTGAATAACACTGTGACTTTTAATCAACATTTTCTATTTCCGAATCGAGAAGTTCTATATAAGAAAAGCTTCACGGTATTCTGTAAATAATTCTTATTTTATTCCTCATTAAGTTAAGTTTCTCTTGCATACAACAAACCCTAAACTACTTCAGATTCTACTTTACAATCCAGTACCTTCTGTTAATCGCTCTTTCTCTTTTGTTTTTAATCTTGTCAACGCCAACAACCGCGTGTCTTTTCTGTCTGATTGTCTTTCGGTTTTGACTTATTCTTTAACTTAGACTGTTCGACATGTTATTAACACTTCTCGCAGCTCATTTGTACAATTGGATTTTCTGTTTCGCCATTTAAATCTCATCATTAAGTGAAAAAAAATCTTACCATGCTAACATCTTCTACAGACTCACACAGTGCTGAGATAGCGCAACCGAGCTATCCAGACTGAAGAACTCGAAGAAACAAAATCTAACTCTTCTAACGATGACGACAACATAGACCGTGACGTACTAGTTAATTGACCTTAGAATTATTCAGATGAAATGTACCCGAGCTTGCTATACTTTCAAGCTATTCTCACCAAAACATCCAACCGTTAAACGCTTTCAGATAAACTGTTAATTAATTTATTGGGTAAATACGGTGAAAATAATTCCCTACGTTTTGTTTTAATGAAATAGCCTTATGAGTTTTATCATTTTACTAATTTGTTCCTAGTTAATTTTTCATTTGATTATTATCGACTTTTTTTTTTATGTATGCGAACTTTCTGCGTTACTTTAACATCAACTACGAGATTTGTTTGTAGTTAAGCACAATGCTACACAATGAGCTACCTGTGCTGTGCCCACCACGGGTATCAAAACTTGGTTTTTAGTATTATAAGTCCGCGGACATACTGCTGAGCCACTAGGGGCAACTATGAGATACTGTAAGAGGCTGAATGTAAATGTTGCCGGAAATATGCAATGTTGAACCATACTTACATTTTTCAACTGTTTTATTTGTTTGTAGTTAAGCACAAAGTTACAAAATGGGCTACCCGTGCTGTGCCCATCACGAATATAGAACAGATCTTTAGCGTTATAAATCCGCAGACGTACCTCTGAGCCACTGATGGGCATTTTATCAATTGTAAATAAAAAGATTTTGGGTATATAATGTGTGGAAAGACAAAGGTTTGTCTACTAACCTTCAACTCTTTGCTCTCTTCACCCGAATCAGAATAAAAAACGTTATCGTTTCCATCCTTTGCGCAGACACTACTACAACGGTCACTTGATTTTAAACCTACAACAGAAACATAATTTGTTAGTTACAAAATGATACGGAGAAAGATATAGTCTGTCTGATTTGATGTTTCGCGTTTTTTTTTCTTTTTTCGTAGATAAAGGTATAACTTTTGAAGAATTAAATTTTGCCATTGTCTTTTCATCTTTTACTGAATAATCATTTAGTAAAATCATAAATTATTTTACATTCCCAGAAGAGTTAGCCAGTACGTGTATTTAAGTATTGGAATTATCAGTCACAGAGTTATAAAATGCATCTATAAAGTTTGTTTGTTTGTAATTAAGCACAAAGCTACACAATGGGCTATCTGTGAACCACAGGTATCTAAACACAGTTTCTAGCATTGTAAGTCCGCAGACATTCCGCTGTGCCACTAGGGGGCCATCTATAAAGCAAAACAACAACAAAAAATGCTGGAAGAATAACAATACTCAACGCAATTCATTGTAACAAACAAATGCTACACAATTAGTTGGGAAGTTTTATAGATAATTTTAACAACAAAATGTGATATAACACAACTTAGTTTATACAATACAACAATATTCCTGTTGATATGAAGGTACTAAGCAACTAGCATAATCACACTAGTTAACTGGCGCTGTTAAACACTTAGATTTAAATGTTTGCAAATTAGTTATAGGATTAAATTATGATAGTAATGACTACAATATTTTATAAATGTAAAATTTAGTTTTGTAGTTGGAAATATTTTTTTAGGATTTCATATATATATATATATCGGGTCTTTACTTTACTAAGTTTGTCTCTTGTTCTGAGCGTGTTCTTAAAGAACTTACTTAAAACTTGATCAGACTGTCTCTAACGTACAACGGAGTACATCTTCTACACCAGATATCATATGTTTATATGATAGATAAAAAATAATTTTTATTTTAATATGGTACACTATATGTTAGTGTGCAACATAAAATACAAACCTAATGGGTATATACACATGTGACTAGGTTCTTCAGTAAGCTACATTGTTTCAAAATATCTAGCGTAGTATGTTAGAATAAATATCTTTACCAAGAAATAAAGTGTATAGATTTACGAGCTGTTGAGAATGGACAGATATCAAACACACGGGTAGTATCAGTAACTTGGAAACATATAAAAAAAACTTGGATATTTCTGAACGACTTACTCGAGCCACTGCTACCTCGACAAGATTTCGTGCTAAACGACGTATTAGTACTACTTGATCTTACAGACGTGTCGTCTGGCTCCATTACATTGGAATATTCACCGCATCTAGAGGCCATTAGTGCTAAATCTCGAATGTATTGCAGTGTTGTGTCATTGTTGTCATTCAAAATATCGTTCTCGGAGTAGATAGCGCAACCATCGGTGACGTCAGGTAACTGTGAGGTAGAAAAATTGTACAAGAAAAACCTAGAAATTCAAACGCTCAAGTTTCAAGCACAGTTATTAAATTCAGAGAAAACACAACACCCTCGCATTCACAGGTTTAACATCATGCGTTGATTTATGGTAACCACCAAATATTGGTGTCGTTCTTCATAATCAAGTTACTTCAAGATCACAACAAAGAACGTTCCAAAAACAGTTCTACTTTATCTCTGTGTTTAAAAAATAAATAGACATAAAACTTTAAGTTCCTCTCGGAGTTATTTAATGCATTGAATATGACGATTGCAAAAGTCACATTTTACTTCTATTAAAATGAAATTGAGATATATGAAGAATAAGTGAGCAATATATTTTGAAAATGTTAAATAAAATTATTTTGGAAGATTATATGTTAATGATAGTTTTATGAAAACAAGTTTTCAGGAACTCTGTAATAATTTTTTCTTTTGTTTATCAAAAATTTGGTTTCTCGTTTAAATGAAAACTCTTGTACCTTATTAAGACATCTAGCTGAAAATACTGAATACCTTAACAGCTGAAGTTCCTTTCTGCTTGAATAAACCAAATATAAAGTTAAACAGGTCAAAGAAAGAGTTAGAACGCCGTCTCCTGGAGCTCTGGATCTTGCTGTTCTGGTCTCGAGAATATCCGCTACTTTTCTGTATAATATAAGAAAAACTATCACATAATTAGTATAATATAAGAAAAAAAATATCACATAATTAATGTAATATGAGAAAAACTATCACATAATTAGTGTAATATAAGAAAAACTATCACATAATTAGTATAATATAGGAAAAAAAATATCACATAATTAGTATAATATAAGAAAAAAATTATCACATAATTAGTGTAATATAAGAAAAAAAATCACACAATTAGTATAATATAAGAAAAAAAATTACACAATTAGTATAATATAAGAAAAAAATCACACAATTAGTATAATATAAGAAAAAAAAAATCACATAATTAATGTAATATAAGAAAAACTATCACATAATTAGTGTAATATAAGAAAAACTATCACATAATTAGTATAATATAGGAAAAAAAATTATCACATAATTAGTCTCTTCGTGATTCTTTTATGAAGTTAGATGTAAGGAATACCGGCTGGGATTGAGAGAAGAGTGAGAATGCGGTCAGCTTTTGGTCAGTTACTAAGGGATTAAGGATTACAGTACTGTACGTCGCGGGAAAATGATTAGAGGAAGCGGCTCTCTTTCTTCTTAAGCGGTATAGAGAAAACAAGACCCCCTAATGATTAGGAAAGGTTATAATCCAAACAAGTGTGCAAAGTCAGAAAGAAAGAGACTTGTTCAGCTTGGATTTGAGAAAGACATATAAAAGACAATAGTTTAAGAGAAAAAGGGAGACCGGGAGGTGTGAAATCAAAGGAATATACCAAGAGAGAGGTAAAGAAAGAATTATGATTATAGTAATAAACAACCATTTGTTATGTATATTAGTAAGGTGTCAATTAGTCAATAAGTACAACCTTAAAGTTGAAAAGAAAGTGAAGTGTGAGTATAGCATGATCGTAAAAATTGGAGTCAGATGTAGGCAGTTTATAATGTCTACGTTAATAAAGCCTAACAAAACTGTTTTGTAGATTGAGTTGTTTAAAAACAACCGTAGTATGAACACCTAGGGAGCTAACCCTTTTAGGCTTTAGGTCAGTAGAAACCATTCGCTCGACATAACGAAATGCTTAAGTTAGACAACCACATCGTTCTTAGATGATTTAAAGCATAAAAATGTTAATAATGATGTGCATAGCAGGTTAACAGTTTAAAAGTTTTAGATCATGTATATATATATATATAACAAAGGTTCTTAAGGTTAAAATGATCGAATAATAATCACTAACCATAAGAACAATTATATTTCAAACTTCTAAAATTAGAATATAATTATTTACGTATTGTAACTTCTGCTAATTTTAATACGCATCGTCTTGCTAATTCGAATATGTTTTTTTTTTCAATACCAGTCGTCAAACAATAGTGAAAACATTTCGGTTCATTGTGAAGGTTTCGGCAAGAAAACATACGTACCTGCAACGCAAAACCGTTTCTAACGAAGCACACATTTGATTTACGTTTTCTTAAACAGCGCTAAAGAAAACTACTAAATAACTGATTATCTAGATATGCAGTGTTCATAAATGTTATTTTTCGCCATCTTTTATTTCTTCGTTATGTTATGTTCAGAGTTAACACAGGATGAAAGTTTTGAAAACACACGAACTTTTTCTTCATAATTTCTATGTGGTACAAAGATTATTGCCGTTTGATATGAGTATGACTGACATATACTGCTTAGCATATCTTTTACATTACCTTCCCGGATGAAGAACTGTTCCGCTTTTGCCAATCTCTGAACTTCATTTCCGCCTCTATCGTACTGACATCTTTTTTGTACTCTTCGTTAAAGGCTATCAGTTCTTGTTGGGGTGAGAGAAAACAACATTTTTTACACTCAGGAGAATCAGCTCGAGGTTCTTCTTTTACAGCTGTTGAGAAGACATACAAGGATAGAGGAAACAACAAAATCCATGCCAACTACACTTATACTGTAATTGATATCGGACTGCTACCATCTATCTTTTGGGGGAGGGGGTAGTTCGAATACAAATTGGTTCTGAGATAACTAGAAACTTCTATATGTATATAAGCATAAAAAGTTGATAAACTGAGATTTGATACATATACAATAACACATTATTTGCATTAATTGTACATGCTGAAATTTAAAATGTTGATTTTAGTACTATTTTATGACGTCTTTTTACCGTTTTAAAGCTAATGGTTAACGGTCTTCTGTTGTTTTTACTTTTCTTAGAATTGTTTTGGGTTTGATATGATCTTTTGAGTTTTCTATAGCTAAAACTGAATTTCGATACCCGTGGTAGGCAAAGCACTCATATGCTATTGTTTAGATTTGTACTTATTAACAAACAAACAAAATATTTAATCGGCTGTTGCAATCTTTTGTACACAGAAATACATGACTTTTTCTTTACTAGTTCATTATAAAAACCATACATCCTACTCAAAAACATAATATTGCAGCCCCCCAGTGGTACAACGCTAGAAACCGGGTTTCGATACCCGTGGTGGGCAGCGCACAGATAGCCCTTGTGTAGCTTTGTGCATAATTATAAACAAACAAACATAATATTGCATTTTGTTGTGAATCAGGCGCAAATTTACGTAGCAATTTGAATTTCCACTAAAAATAGCATGTTTTTAAAAAATGACAATCTATTATTAAAATACTTCCACCAAACTATACTGTATATCTAATAAAGTGCTTTGGAAAAGAAAGTTTTTATAACTATTTCAGATAAAACTAAGCGCTTATAGTTCAAATGTACCAAAACGTATATGTAAGAGATGCTTATATAAATCATGTAAAGTTGTTGTTTGTTGTTGTTTATTATTATTAAGCACAAAGCTACACAAAGGGCTATCTGTGCTCTGCCCACCACGGGTATCGAAACCCGGTTTCTAGCGGTATAAGTCCGCAGACATACCGCTGTGCCACTGGGGGGGCTCATGTAAAGTTTTCAAAGTTGTTTTATTTCGCAAGATGTGTAGTTTCTCCGTTCAAAATTACAACTGAGAAACAAGATATAAGCATAATCTATAAAAAGATTAATTTCGTTGCACTTTAGATTACTTAATAACTGCCTAGGAAACGTTTTTATCATTACCGCCTATATCAATAAATATGCTTCCGATTTAAAACAAGCAAAGGTATTGAGGAAGTAAATATTAAAAAACCAACAGTCACATGGAACAAGTAACGCGGCGTTGGCAACAAGGTAGCTTTATGAAACACAATAAAATGTTCTAGTCTTGTATAGAAAAAAAAAGATGTATTTTTTTCATCATCATGTGATAGCCTTAGTATGCTTCACAATTTTTTACCAAGTTCTAGACTACTAGCTATATCATTAGAAGTTTTTAAAGTAATTACTTACTTGTTCAAATAATTCTGTTTTGTATTTCAAGTTTCGTAGATGAAATAGAGTTTGTAAAACTTCAGATCGAACTACACGAATGCATAGGTAAGTAAGTACGATGAAATATCACAGCAAGAGTTCTTATGAAATATTTTGTCATTCCTGTCTGGTATGATATGCTTGTCACCCGGTGGGACAGCAGTACGTTTACCGACTTATAAGGCTAAAATCTGGGGTTCGATTCCCCCGTTGTGGACATAGCAGATAGCTCAATGTGACTTTCTCTAAAAAAAAACATACTCCAACCTTTAGCCCCTCCAGTAGCACAGCGGTATGTCTGCAGACTTGCATTGCTAGAAACCGTGTTTCGATACCCGTGGTGGGCAGAGCATAGATAGCCCATTGTGTAGCTTTGTGCTAAATTACAAACAAACAATGATATGCTCTTTTCTTTTGTCTGGCATGGCCTGGTGGTTAGGACGCTCTACTGGCAATCTGATGATCACGGATTCGAATACTCGTCACCGAACATGCTTGCCTTTTCAGCCGTGGGGGCGTTATAACGTGACGGTCAATTCTACTATTCGTTGGTAAAGGAGTAGCGCAAGAATTGGCGGTGAGAGGTGTTGACTAGCTGTCTTCCCTCTAGTCTGATAGCACTGCTAAATTAGGGACGTTTAGCGCAGATAGCCCTCAAAATTCAAACCAAACTTTTTTTTTTTCAGCGAATTGCCCCTATCGGCAGCAGTTTCATCATAAAAAGTATTAAAACAACATCAAACCCTTTATTAAGACAATTTAAAAAGTGCCAAAATTATTAGAACGATGTTTCTATCATATAAGGTTTTGTGTTATACAACACATAAATCAAAATTGTTTATTACAAGGTGGACTATCACAGAGGCCATGTATAGTTTCCTTTTAAATAAATCCAACAGATAATTTAAGTTTTCTCTTTTCTTTTTTTTTTCTTTTGTTATTATTTTTCTTTTTAAAATTATATATTTCTAGTTATTATATTTCTCTCGGAACGACTGCTGTACTTCAGCATTGAGTGAAACGGAGTTTTCTTTGTGACTGATAATAAAATGATGAATTCTGAGAATTATCTTCTCTTACTTAACATTACTGTGTACTTTCGGGTAGAATGGAATAACATTATTAGGGGAAATTAATAAATCTATTTAGGCATACTCAATTCATCTAATAGTGAAAGGCAAATTATCATAAAGAGGTATAACGTTATGAATTAGGGAAACCAAATTCATCTTACGTGAAAAGTAGTCGTCATCGTTCATCTTAGTACTTTCTTTTTCCTTTCTTTTACTACTCAGGCTTTCCAGAATAATTTTCTTATGGGGTGGAAGCTGTCCTGTGTGGTGTAATATACAGATCGTTATATTATATTTAAGTGTTGTATAATTATACATAATTCAGCGTAGAATTACAATAAACACTTCTTGTTCTAAGTTTAGAAGTATTTCTATTTTGTAAGTCTGCGGACTTACGATGCTAGAAACCAGGTTTCGATACACTTGGTGGGCAGAGCACAGATAGCCCATTCTGTAGCTTTGTGTTTAATTATAAAGAAACAAACAAACCATTTTGTAATTATTAACAATTATTTACAATATTAAAACAAAAAACAGAGCTTTTAATCTTTAGATGATTATGTCTCATAAAACATTACATTAAGTTAGAAATATACTGATAACTTAGTTTTGATATGCATTTAAAGAGAAACAGAGAGAGAAAAAAACGAATATCTTTCTCGAAAGCTTTGAAACTCTATTATATAAATTCGTTTTGTTCAAGGCTTTGACCGTTATTTTTTTAAATACATAATCTCAGATTATTTTAAAACATTCGCTTAATAATGTGTCAGAATTATTTCTAACCTGATTCCTCTGACGAGAAAACTGGCGACATCATTTCATAATGTCCAGATTTATCCTCTGGGATAGACTGTGTTCTTTGTGGAAGGGTAGGTGGATTAACAGAGTTATTTTCATAAGTAGGATAACTCTGCTTGGAATCTAAATAAAAAACAAATATATATATATATGCTCCTTTGTATATACAACTGATTTAGAAGTTTGACATTTAATTCAGGTTTATTTTTGTTGAAGAAAAAAGCCAAAGATAATTCTGTTTACGAAAATTCACCAGGTCTCAAATAAATGGTAAAATAATATTTTATGTATCATGCTTTCATTGTCGTTGTTCACATTTATTGCACGAAACTGTATGTTTTAAAAAAAGACAATCTTTTAGAATGATAAAACGATATTTCTGTAAGCAAACAGCATATTGAATAATAATAATAAAAGTGTTAAAAGGATGCTAATCAGTACTGTTCAGAGCAAATAATTAGATTCTGTAGTTTTGATGATAAGGTTATGTATCTCTGCATTCCTCAGACAATAAGAATGAACATGAAAAATAGTTTTGTTTGGAATTTAACTCAAGTCAATTTTTAAATTTCGTGTGAAGTGCTACCAAGGGTAGGCCTTGTGTGAAGTGACTTCCATTATGGGCCTAATTTGCTGTAAATCAATGATATGTTATACATATGTATGTTTTTGAGTTGTGTGTGAATAAATATATATATATATATATCTTATTAGCACACAATCTGTTATCTTAATTATTATTTAAATTATATGTTTGAGAAAAATATTTTCCGCTGGATTTGTTTTCGTATTTTGTACTTATTGAAATATTGACCAGATGGAAGACAACCAGTCAGCAGCACCCTACCACCACCATCCAACGTAAGGGATTGACTGCCACTCTTATAACGTTCCCATAACATAAAGTGCGAGAAATATTTTGTGGTATCGTACGGATTCGAACACAGCTTCTTAGGTTCGAAATTCAGAACTCTACCACAATGCTAACCCGCACAATCTCCACAAGGCTAACCCGCGCTTTCTCCGTTCAATGAGAAAATCATTAACATGTTATTCTTAAGTTTATTCAGTATTTGTGTTAAAATGCTTTTCATTTAAAGTAACAATTATGAAATTCAAGCGAAAAATTGCTTAGTTTTATTTCAAACACTACGTTTTAGTTTTCACTCCACAAGCCATGTACTTGGCTTATTGTAGCTCTGGGTCGGCTAGTATTGGGAAAATCATATAATTTGTCTTTATCCAAACATTGCACAGTTAATCATTTCTTGAGAGCGGTAAGGGTAGTTCTGAGACAATCGTTGTTATCTTTGAATGTATATCCCAAGATTAAAAACAGAATAAAGCAATTGGTTCTTTAATTTTCATCCCAAAAGTTTTTATGTTAGTTGGGCGTGGTCATGGCACAGTTGTTAGTGTGCCTGGTTAGGGATAACAAGTTTATTTGTTTGTTTTGTTTTTTGAATTTCGCGCAAAACTACACAAGAACTATCTACGCTAACTGTCCGTAATTTAGAAATGATAGATTAGAGGGAAACAGCTAGTCAACACCACTCACCGCCAACTCTTCTCTTGAACTACTCTTTATCCCACGAAAAGTGAAACTGACTGAACATTTTAACGCCCCCACGGCTGAAAGGACGAGTATGTTCGGTGACGAAGGTTCGAACCCGCGACTTGAGGTTGCGAGTTTAGCGCCCTAACTACCAGATCGTGACCGACAGAGGCTCAAAATTACAAACTTAATGCCGCTGATCATGATCCGCACTTTCAGGTGTGAGTGTGTTATAAAAGTGACAGACAATCCCATTATTCGGTTCAAAGAGTTGAACAAGACTCTTGCAGCGGCGGTTGCTGTTAGCTTTCTTTCCTTTGGTCAATAGTTCAAAATTAGGAATCATTAGTTCAAATTTATGGGCGGGTATATTAAACTTGAGGGGGGTCTCTGATCTGACCATTTATGACCTGTAAACATAAGATGCCGTTCGGGTTGAAAAATCCTATCTCAGTCACCAAATTAGTAAAATTGAAACAAAACTAGATAAAAGGAGAAAAAAAACTTAAAGAATAATATTTTAAAGCAAAGGAGAAAATATGGGGAGGGGGGGAGGGGAGAAACTTAATAGTATAAGAAAGAAAATAAAAAATTGGTTTATTCTTAAGCACAAAGCCACACAATGGGTTATCTGTGCTGTGCTCACCATGGAAATCGACACCATACGTTTAGAGTTATAAGCACTCTGACTTATTGCTGAGCCACTGAGGAACAGAAAACGAAGCCCTCCAGTGGCAAAGTGATATGTCTGTGGACTTACAACGCTAGAATTCGGGTTTCGATACCCGTGATGGGCAGAGCACAGGTAGCCCATTGTGTAGCTTTGTGCTTAATTACAAACAAACAGAAAACGAAAACATGAAGACACTAAAATATTCTGATCACTGACGTGACCATGATGCCAATGAAACACAGAAACACAAATTCGTAATGATCTTTTAATAGTTTTACTCATTTTCAGTTTGTACTTGGCTGTTTAAGTTAAGATACGTACAAAGTTGTTGTTTCAAAACAAATAAAAATTGTGTCATTTATAGAATAAGCTATGTCGCTACTGACATCTATATAATTTATGTACTGAACAGACCGTAAAAGTTTGTTATTATCCCGCGGATCAAAATGGATATCAAATTTTTGAAAGTAGAAGCTTAAATGTGATTTTTTTTCTCTAATTGCTAATACATTAGTATGTAACAAATAATCTCATCCTTATTTCTAAATTTTGTACAAACACTTGAAGTAACTAATGGTTTGAAGAATGCTAAGAGTACACGTGGAAAGGTCATTTCTAAATTTAAAGATAGAACTTTGTACAGGAATAAATAGTTCTAAGTCTTTAGTAAACTGAGTAAGGATATTTGAAAGTGTGGACGCTCTTTTGTTTTTACATATCATTATTGAGAGTATTAATTAAAGACTAAGTCCTATTTTTTTAGATAATAATGATGACAGCTTTTTTTATGTGATTTGTTAAATTTACAGACATATTTGTTCGTCCGATTTTGAGTCTCAAATGATTTTCAATTAAGTTTTGAAATGTTACCCGTAAAGTTCACAGTCGTGACGTATATATTTTGTTTATATAAAAAGGTTAGAAGCGATGTCCAAGGAAAAAAAAACTCATCTTTTTTTTCTTCTTCTTCTAAGATATGAATAACAACATTTCTTAACATTAATTTATACAAATAGCTTTAAACAACATAGATATATCCATACCGTGAATACTTATAGAGCTCCAAAAAACAAATATTTAACTAAAATAAACTGAGGTGTTTATTAAATTAAGTCTAAAATAATTAAGACGCTATTGTTGTGAAGATAGAATAATCAGAGTTAAAGTTAATATAATGTTCTGGAAATGTTTAAAACTCAACATGAACACGAATTTCAAGTCATAGAATCGTGTATGTATCTTTGTTTCAGAATTTTCTCGAAAAGCCACACAAAAGACTATCTACGCATAGGCGTCACTAATTTTGAGCCGATTGACTAGAAGGAAGGCAGCTAGTCAACAGCACCTACCGCTAACTCTTAGGCCACTCTCGTCCGACCAAATAGTTGGATTTGAACGTAATAGTTACACTGCACCCACGAAGTCAAATTGTGGAGTGAGTTTTTGCGGCAATATATCACGAACCATGAATCTTACGCTTTATAGCCTGAACACATTAATTATTAGGCCACACCCGACCCTCATAGATGTATGTCACTTAATCACTCATCAGGTTAAAACATATTGGGTTTAACTATACATGGATATTCAGGGCCTGAAATGACCTGGTGGTTAGGGCGTTTGACTCGCAATCTGCGGTTTGTAAGTTCGAACCTGTCACTGAATATACTTGCCTTTTCAGTTGTGGGGGTCGTTATAGCGTAACGGTCAACCCCACTTTTCGATCGTAAGCGAGTGGCCCAAGAGTTGGCGGAGGGTGGTGTTGGCGAGGTGTCTTCCCTCTAGTCTATCCTTGCTAAATTAGGGACGGTTAGCGCAGATAGACCTTGAGTAGCTTTTGGCGAAATTCATCAAAGAAATTACACATTAGCAATCGATGTGTTCGAAGGAAAACGAAGTTTGATTATAAACAATATTACGTCACTTATGATATACAACATTGTTTATTGACAAAAAGGGGACATGGAGTCTTCATTTAAATTATACATTTTTTAATATGTTCGTATTACTGATTTTTCGTTTTTTTTCTCTTTTCGTTGTGTTTTCTTGCTGTAGTTTCTCCCCATGATTACTGTTTAGTGTTTTATTTGTTTAATTATCGTTATATTTAGCAACTGTACTTTGAAAATGTATAAAGACTGATGTAAATTCATTTTATTCTGCTTTAGATACTGAAGATGGAATCTGATAGAATTCCGAAACGTTTATCCATGTCCCCTTTTTGTCAAGAAACTACACAGTTGCTGACTAAAGTTAATAACGCTAGATACTAACACCTTAGTGACTAAATGATTTCTTTCCTAGAACTACTACTGACCTGTAACAGGCCAATGTTGGAGCTTTGAAATTTCCGAGGACTCTTGAGATATGTCGTGTAAACTCTGAGAATTCCAAATACTTTCGTATATTCTTAAATGAGCTGGATTTTCTTGCATGACAGCTGAAAGACATTAAACTGGTTACAAAATAGTAATGGTTATTGTTAAATAAACTACATTTAGCAATGGTATTGAATTTTTTATAAATTCCTTTTTTTTTCTGAAGTAAAAAAACAACGATTTACCCTCTGAAAGTGGGCTTACACAGTGCAATTGGCACGATTACTCTATATTCTGTGGGCTACTCCTACATTTTCATTTTGTTCTCTTAGTCGAAGAAAGCCTCGGGAAAGGAGACTCAAGACTTCGTATCAGAGATAAAGAAAGTAACAGACAGGAAAAGTCGATAAAAACATTGACAATAAATATAAATTTTTTTATAGTATTGCCTGAATATATTTTCTATATCTCCTATCCTTAGACTAAATTAAAATAAAAACTTATGAAAAAATGAAATAAACAAAATATGTCTATTACACATGTTAAATGAAATAGCAGAATATTCTTGAAGGACGAAGACATACAAAATCTACGTACAGCAAGTTCAATAATTATCTTAACAATACACATTATGACACTATGAAGTGATAGACTTGACAATTTGTTAGTGTTTCAGGAGGTACTTTTTTAACTTGAGAACTGTATACATCAGCGACATGTTTCCTAACAGTTTGTGGTTTAACAAGTTTAAATATCATAGTATATACACTCGTAAAAAAATTCAAAATCGCATGATTTGTAAACGTACGTATTACAGATAATAATTAAAATAATTACCGTATGTATCTAACAATATCGTTTACTGATAATCATCAGGTAATTTTACAGCGTATATAGCCTACAACAGTTATTTACCCTAATTTCAGTAAATAACAATAGCTTTGTATTTGTTTCTGCCAATGTACATTATCATAAAGACCTCACTGCTAAGATTATTCATTATCACACAAATATCACTATTTATACTTCAACCCAATATCAAAATATAAAATACCCGATTAAATATTATGCTTTATAATGTCATTGAAATCAATTGATCCCTAATTGAAGCCCAGTTTTATAGTTACTACAGCAGACAACTACTGCAACAGAGTAAAGACCAACTCTTACATTGTACTAATAATTCAACTTACTGTAGTAAATTCTGTTTGGTTCGTTGTCTTTCGTCTTCGAAAGACGATCGGCAGTCTGGTGAGGTTCATATCCCAATTTTTCCTATAAGATGTTTGAGAACAGTAGCTTATTTCCACGGATAATACAAAATAACAGTGTGCATTGTCTGTCTACTTTACAAGTTATCCAAAATTGGTAATTATGTCCTAACTCAACTGACGAAATAACACATTCTAATCTTTATGGTCAAGAACGTAAAAAAAATATATATTCAATTACCAGATTGCTTTTTAGTTTTCGCTTTAACTGGATAAGTTGCTCTGATCACAAGTTATTATCAATTCGAAAGTAGCGAAAAGATCGTAACTTTTTAAGTCTCAAAACAATTGTAGTTATTTGCAAAGGTTTGTAGCTAAAGAATAAGAATTCGTCTTGCATACTATGGGCTATATTGAAAATAGTTTTTGTCACAAGTTTCATGAATATCATATTTGTTATTTATTATAAACAACATGTCATAATCAACTAATATTTTCCAAGATTAGAAGATAGAAAAATGGCTCTTGATCAACTTTTAAAACTTCTCTTTATCAACCTTGTAGTTCTATTGTTAATAAATAACGTGGTTAGTTTTAATTCTGCCACTTCTACGAAGTTAGGAGTATATTTTTGATCAATTTCCATTAATAATGCACTGGAGGTGGCGTAGTAAATTTGAAAAGGGAATGGGGATTTGAGTTTGAAGAAGTTAACTTACACAAAATAACAACATTTAATCTTATCTTGTCCCTTAAGTATAGTCTCCCATGAAACAAACTTTCTTGTACAAAAATTGATAACAAAATCACAAGATACATATTTAAACAAAGGGCGTGATTAAATAGTTGACTGATATTTGTGGTCAGTAGACGAATCATTTTCTTTGCTTTGGTTGATAAGTGGATTAGAATGTTTTTATTTGTGAAAATAATCCTAGCAGATGAAACTTACATAATTATTGATATATCGCAAACTATAAAACATATGGGAAGCATCTTAAGCTTAGGGACCATCGAGAAATGATAGTGTTGAATTTTAATATTTTAGGAGTTTTTTTTCTTACGTTCAAAAAATTTGCGTGAAGTACGCTCAATTAAAGTTTAGAAACTGGTAATTGTTCTTACGTTTAATTTTTTTTGTCTTATTTCATCATTCATATGAATTAAAGTCTTTCACACCTTCTTTACCAAGCTCGGGAGGGGGGGGGGCGGAGTACACTACGCCTCTGTAGATAAATATTATTTTACCTTTCTACATTTCTTAGTCTTAGCATTACTTTTAAATCAGAGCCTAAAAAAAAGGTGTTCTGAAAGTTAGCAAAAAACGTACGTTCGTAAAGAAGCCTGATATTGATATAGTTGAATGATTTATGGTGGCTTCTTCATCGCTATAAGCTTTTTTCTGTTTTTAAAGCATTGGTTATAGATCAAATACAAGTATATTTATTGTTATTCTGGCCCCAATATCCGTTTCACTGGCCCGTCCAGTTAAAAACAAAATGAAGCTAGACCTGTTCGTTACATTATACAGGACCGTAACTCTAGATCAGTTATAAATATACTGATCTAACCAATCACGTGTCTTCTAGATATAAACTTTACATTGCCAAATTGCCCTAAACCATGTTGGTTTACTAAAACTATTATTGTTTTAAAAGCAAGATATGTGATGAAATATCACAATAAAGCAAGCAAAGTTTTCAATGAATGGAAGTTTATAATTGCTCTTCTCATCTATATATGACATTTGGTCTTCGTAGCTGTCCCAAGATAATTCGGAAATAGAGAAAAAAAACTGACTGAAGCAATAGTTTATAATTGAATATGTATATAGATAGAGATGGGTAAGTGCTTTGATCAATTTCTTTTGCTTCTTTGTGTTTCTATTTGCATTATGAGAGCTATAAGAGTCTAGCACATTATGAAAGAGGACCGTTACTAAGCCAATTTGCCCCCCAGTGGCACAGCGGTATGTCTGCAGACTTACAACGCTAGAAACCGGGTTTCGATACCCATGGTGGGCAGAGCACAGATAGCCCTTTGTGTAACTTTGTGCTTTACTACAAATACTAAGCCAGTTTGATGCACTACGGCTTTTCAGTATTATATAATTCATCGGGACGTATGAGATTTAGTTTTATGAGAAAAAATAACGTAGTTTAAGTTATACGTTTTTTTCTTGAAATTCATATTAAGTATTTTAAGAATAAACTTTGGTCATATTTTCAGTGTTATTTTTAATAATTTCTCACATTTGCTGTAGTAAGTGGAAGCCTTCTTCAGCTTCAATGCTGAACACACAAAATAACACGTGTTTCTCTTTTAGTGTTAACGGCTGCTTTCAAAGCTTACTATTAGAATAAAATTAATCAATAACATTTATAATTAAACTCAAATTATATAAAATAATAGGAATATCCAGTTCTCTATTTATCTATTAAAACCTATATTTAATTGCTTTAAAGTAAATACTTGAAATGAATCCAGTATGTCTGCAGTCTCTGTGTGGTTTCTTAAACGTGCAAGATGGACTGGAAGAAGTCCTCGGCAATTCTCAAAGCCACAGGCACTCGCGGCTCCAGGCGACTTTAAAAGAACAGAAGTAAACTCTTTCATGCCGTAGCGAGCAGCGAAGTGGAGCAAAGTTGGCATTTCATCTTCGGCTACCATTGATAAAAATACACAAAAAACTTAAATTGCAGAACAGCAAGCTAAAAACCGATGTTTTGAGAAAAAACTGATGGAAACTGTCGTTTGTAAATGAATATTTACGTATATACATAGGGTTAGAGATAATTGATTGAATCAATTTCTTTCCTTTTTTTTTTGGATGGGGGATTAGGAGTATATTTATAAATTTGGTAAAAAAAGGAAGGTAAACCGTCACGAAATCAATCAGCTGTCAATTTGTACTACGTGTTACGTATACGTTTAATATTTTAAAAAAATATTGAAAATTCAAATACTTTCCATGGCAAACTAGTAAATTTATATATTAAATTTTATTCAAATTTTGCTTTAATTTAAAGTTATCAAGCTGTGCCAAGAGAGTCAATTTAATGTTTATTGAAAACGATAATATTCTACGTTTCTCAAATCTGTTAAAGAGTCAAAGTAAATTGTACTTCAGTTTTCAGTTTTACGAAATAAAATAATAGTAGTATGTGTATGTTTGCATAAAACAAGCTTTTAAACGTTAAACCATGTAAAATAATGTATATTTATATTAATTTGAATAATTAATTGTGCGTTTTTGGTTAAATTTATAATGTCGTTTCTCGATAAATTAATCCAAATTCTGCTTCAGAGGCTTAGGTTTTCACATAACGTTATTTTTAATTTTTTGGGAATGAGTCATGTTATCACAGTGTCAGTATTGTCTATTTATCAATATTGTTAATTACTTGATAACCCCTTTTTGCAGGCTGACTAATGGATGTTATATTTATGGAGGAAGAAATAACTACCATTAATGTTAAACTGGCAAATATTATGATAGGTATGAAAAAAAAACCTACTCTTGAGCAGCGGTTCGGGAGGTGGCACGAGCAGATTGAAACCCTCTGACGGAAGGTTGGCCTTGAAAATTTGAGTTAGCCGGTGGTCAACATCTACAGGCGTTGTTACATTGAGGCTCTGGCACAATAGCTCATAGGGAGAAACGTTATCGTCCAATAGTTCAAGCATTTGCGCCATTGGAGATTGATAGTACAATGTTTTCTGACCATAGTACCCCTCACTATTCCATATACAAACTGTTATCATTGAGGACGTAGAAATGAAACTGGCTAGAAGTATAAAGACGAAATTATTGTACTCAAACAAATAAAGCCATCACTTGTGATGACAGTTCATATGAAGTTCATCGTTGCTTAAACTCTAGGATAATTAATTAGTTTTGTTAGACGATCTGACAGTTCATATAAAGTTCATTGTTGCTTTAACTTCAGGATAAATTAAATGTATTTGATATAACAGTTTATTTAAGTTTCATTGTTATTTTTCTTTTTCTTACTGAAATTATTCAAAAATAGTTTACACGTAACATACTGACAAAAATGCACCTAAAATTAGGTTTTTGTTAAAATAAGTTATTAATTATTTACGAATGTTGGAAAAAATAATAATAAAGTTGCTCTAAAGCAAACGCTAATCACAATAAACGTTGGAGCCGATTTGATATAGGGCTAGAAAATCTTACAAATCAATGTTACTAACCAGGAACCGAGAACTGGAATGTGAACGGATTTCGCCGGGTTGATTCCACTTTTTCTTGTTTGTTGTCTTTTTCCAGAATAAATATGATATCCTGATCTTCTTTCACAGGTACGTTTAAGACTGCAAAAACTTCTCTGGATTTCTGGCAGGAGTTTAAGATACTTTAAATAAGTTAAGTAAAATCAGAAACTTCCAGAATTTTTTGAAAATGCTCAGGTATGGAATGAAGCTGTTAATTTTATTAACTTATTTGAAAGACAGTGATAAAACTTTGCACATCATTCGCGCTTGTAGGAATATAAATGGTTTTCTTATACAGAATTATTAAGGTTTTCTACACTGTAGAAAAAGTCCTTGTTAATTTACGGTAAAAAGACCGGAAGTCGAGCTCGCCAACCTTTTACAGTAAAATTAAGTTCAGAACCTTATACTAATTCACGGTGTCTTCTATTAAATTTACACAATTCGCCGTTAAACTTTACTGGATTTTAACATAAAATAACTGTTTCAGTCTGTATTTTGAGTGTTTTTATTGTTATTTTGCAAGGAAATACACTTAAGTTAAAGATTATTCTACATATAGTAATTGTTTTACCATATATTTCCAGCGTTTTTCAATCTCATTCTACAAAGATTAAAGTGTAATCCACATAAAATATATTTTTATGCATATAATAGTTTTATTATATATTTCTTTTCTTTTTAGATTTCCACACAAAAACACTTTAAATGGTTTATCCACATAAAATAGCTTTACTATCTATGATTTCCATATAGATGACTTTTGAACGCATAGTATTTAGCGAATTCCCGTTTCAAAACTGACAAATCGTATGAAAAAGTTGCACGTGTTTCACTTTTGTGAAAAGCACAGTAATCTATTAAGCTTTGAAGGTCTTAAAGGCTGCCTTACAATATTTACACGTGAACATCTTAAATTGTGTTAGGCTAGTTTTTAACTGGGACAAAACTAATATATTTATCAGCGTAGAAAGAGTTAATTATAAAACTAACATCATTTCGTCACTTTTTAGTCCAGCGGTCTCCAATCCTGGTTCTAGAAAGCCGCAATCCAATTTGTTTTATAAGTTAAAATCAGCAACCAACACGTGGTAGACAAATATACTTGTTAAAATATGTTTAAAAAACGTTTAGCTTAAAACATATGGGGAAAAAAAGCTAATTATTGAAAACTCTTATTTCAAAGCTCATACGTGTACTCGAAATATCACACGTTATTTTCTCAAATACAGTAAAGTTCCAAACAAGAAAATGCTAATGAAAAACCGACAGACTCTTGCTATGCTAGTAACACATCCTTCTACACATGAGTGAATCAACGCGATGCAGGCAAATACAGTCAAGTGATAACATGAAATAAAACTTAAAGCGTAAAAAATACTTGCACTTGAAAAGTTACTAAGGTGTTTCTTCAAATACTGTAAAATATAACATCAAATTTAACTTTTAAACTAACAAGCACCCCTTCCCTGACCTAAGGCTTGACTTGAGACACATAGTCCCCGCTAATAATTATGGTATTAATAATAATAATTAATTATCTCAGTTACCTAAAGCTAAAGAAATATTTGGAAACAGAAATATGTCCTGAGCAGTGTTGCCAAACCTAAATTGTTAAGGCTATTTCTGCCTTTCAATTTTTTGTGTGTGCAACAACGTGTCTACTCCCACATCTCTTCAATATAAAATGGCCTCAAGTTACATTTTCTGTAGCATTTGTTAGTCATAGGCAGATTGTGATTGTAGTGGATCAGAAGCTGAATGGAATTCCATCTTAATTTCGACGTAAAGTTTTTCCTTGTCTTAAAATAACTTTTCCTTTACTTAATTAAGTAGACACATTTTGAATAACTGCTCTCTCATAATAACACAGTTGGTTGTTTTTCTATAGTCGTGGCGTACGGATATAACAACTGAAAAATTGCCAACTTGTTCCTGAGTTATTTTTCAAAACCACAAAATAATTTTATTTTCAAATAAAATAGCTTTTATAAATATAAGAATAGAATATTTTTTTAAAATATTTTAAGATGTATATTAATTCTTCTTCATTGTCTTCTTCATCATTAAGTACGGTAGTACTTGATAGAAGAGATCGTGATGAAACAAAATAGCGGCCATAAAAATCACCGTTTAAAATGTCTGAATATTAACAATGACAATATTAGCTGAGTAAAACTAAAGTTTTTTGTACTCATAACGCCACCTTAATCGCTATATACGTGTTTATAGAGTAACTCAAAATTTCACTATTTCAACGAATTTTCATGTAAGTTAGTAAGTAAGGGATTTTTCTAGACAAGAGTACAGAAAAAATTACGAACGTTACCACTCTAATTCTTTCACAGAACTCTTTGGTCTGAGATCCCAATGATTCCTTTCTTGTACCGAAAAAGAAATTGGTATGTATATATATAAAACGGACGATGCGCTACTTTGGGCATACAATTAGGTATGAGGATAAGTTGGTAGAGATCCTGATGAGTAATAAAATGAATCCGGTATATAAGAACCCCACATCATTAATCGTCTGTATTTAGATAACAGCACATTATTAATCGTCTGGATTTAGATAACAACATAGCATTAATCGTCTGGATTTAGATAACAGCACATCATTAATCGTCTGTATTTAGATAACAGCACATCATTAATCGTCTGGATTTAGATAACAGCACACCATTAATCGTCTGTATTTAGATAACAGCACATCGTTAATCGTCTGTATTTAGATAACAGCACATTATTAATCGTCTGGATTTAGATAACAGCATAGCATTAATCGTCTGGATTTAGATAACAGCACATCATTAATCGTCTGTATTTAGATAACAGCACATCATTAATCGTCTGTATTTAGATAACAGCACATCACTAATCGTCTGTATTTAGATAACAGCACATCACTAATCGTCTGTATTTAGATAACAGCACATCACTAATCGTCTGGATTTAGATAACAGCACATCATTAATCGTCTGGATTTAGATAACAGCCCATCATTAATCGAGGATTCTAGTTTAAACTTTTCAATAAAACGAACACATTCAACTCAGAAGTTATAAGCTTTCCATTCCCTAATACGAACATTCCACATAAGTTACGTTATAATGTTTACTACTCTCAGCTTATTAGGTACAATAGAATATGTTCATCGTTACAAAATGTTGTGAATAAAACTCGTAACTTCACTCATTTATTTTTCATAATTGAGGCTCTCATTGCGCATTTTAAAAACAAAATTAATTAAATTCTGTAGGAAAATGGACAATATTCTTTCTACAGATTATGGGTTTAGAAGATGTACAGAGTATCATAACCTTTACAAAATTCTGATGTCCACACTTTAATTTCTTAGGATATCGTTTAGGGTAATAATGGGCATCCTTAGTGTGTTGACCACCATTAATTTTACCTCCCGTTAACTTAAATTATTATTATATATATTTCATACTAGCTATGTAACAGTTCTATATATAGTATGGCCGTACTTCTTAGATTAGTTACATTAGTCTTTGATAATTACTTTCTTTGACCCATTAACGACTATTATTATTATTATTTCTATTGAACTTTCTGTTATATAGAGGGTTGTCATGTTTCCTTTTCGAAAGTAGAATATTAAGAAACTGTATTTAATTAGCTATACCGATTTCCAAGTTGTTTTGTGCTTCGGCTTTAATTACATAGCTTGCTCTGATATGAAGTTAATTATTAAAATGGAAATCTTATACTCGTATAAATATCGAAAAAAATTGATATAAATCATTTGTTTCTCAACTGAAGCCGAGATCTTAAATATTTGATGATTCAGTTATTAAAAACTGCTTAAAACTGTATCACATGGTACTGAATAGATTCAAACTGTATTACATGGTACTGAATAGATTCAAACTGTATTACATGGTATTGAATAGCGTTAAACTGCATTATATAGTATTTCATAGTTTCAAAATGCTTTATATAGTATTGAATAGTTTAGAACTGTGTTGTGCAGTATTGAATAGCTTCAAACTACATTATATAGTATTGAATAGCTTGGAACTGTATTACATAGTATTTTATATTTTCAAATTGCATTATATAGTGTTGAATAACTTTAGAGTGCATTATATAGTATTCAGTAGCTTCAAACTTCATTATTTAGTATTGAATAGCTTCAGCCTGCATTATATAATATTAAATAACTTAGAGAATCCCTAATTAACTAAAATGTCTTACTAACTAAAACACTAAAGTCTATATAACTTTTAACATGGTAGTTTAGGATTGAATAATATTTTATAATTACTCATTAAGATTATTGAAGTAACAAATAGGATCAAAAATACATAAATCACAAATAAAAAAATCCGATTAATGAGTTCTTTCTGGAAGCCAATTTAAGAGCGGATTCCAGTTAAAGGAAAAACTTTCCAAGCAAAAAAGTGACTCAGATATTGCGGTTCTAATTAC